GTGTGTGTGTGTGTGTGTGAGAGAGAGTGTGTGTGTGAGACAGAGAGAGAGAGAGAGAGAGAGAGAGAGAGAGAGAGAGAGAGTGTATACGTGTACGTGTGTCAGACATCACTGACCTCAGGAAATTGAGTCTCTCTTGCACTTCCTGTACGTGGCTGTACCGGCTTCCCGCTCGAACCGTCTGAGGATCAAACCCTGTATGCTCTGAGCCGAAGAATTACAGTGAAAGTTGGCTTTCATTTACTGCAAAACTGGAAGCAAAACACTGCATCTACTGCTAGCTGACACACACCTCTGGAGAACTGCCTCATGTTGTCCATGTACGCAGACAGGTTCTCGGCCACCAGCGTGACGAGCGCGTGATTGTGCTGGAGCTGGTTGATCAGATCGTGACGGTAGAAGACGTGCGGACTCCTCTGCGTCTGACTGCTTGAGAGATGAACGATAATCACACACCGCCGACAGACGGGACAACCTCATGAAGACACCTGCTCCACGACTCACCTGAGGTTCTGAGGAGCTTCTCCAAACAAGCTGCAGATCTCCCTGATCTGCTTCAGAGCTGGAATCACCCACTTATCATTCGTCCGGAGCTCCTCGATGAAGCGGTCGATCCACTGCATCTTCTGCGTGTCGCGGTCCTGTGTGACGGCGAAAGGAAACCGAACGGTGAGTGGCGGCATACAGGTGCATGATGGGAAGAGATGTTGCATGTAAACTCAAGGTCAGACCTGCGAGCAGCTGTAGTCCAGGATCTTGATGTGGGCGCTCAAAGCCTGGTCCATGATGTCGACGGGGACGTCATCACTGTGTGCCAGGTTCCACAGCAGGTTGAGCACTTTGTGAGCCATCACTCCGTCCTTATCGTCCTCCGCCAGCCTGCGGATCAATTCCAGAAGCTTCTCCCGCTGCTTCTTACCAGCGTTCGTCCAACTTGACTGCACACAGAAACGAGAATCAAGCTGGTTATCACAGCATCCTCTCTCAACAACACTGCACAACAAAAGTGTCCCGACAGCAGCCGCTCACCTTGAAGCAGTCGAACAGGTGATCGAGCTGCTCCGGGGAAAAATCCCACGCTAGCTTGGCCAACAGATCGTGGACGTTCTTGACGATCGCTTCATGTTTACCAGCCTGAGAAACAAAACACGGTAGATCATTTACCTTACCTACGCCTCAACAGACTGCAGACTGAAAGCAATCAAAAGTAAATACAAATATGCATGTGCTCCTTTCTGGTGCTGGAGCCCATTCCTGAACCACAGAAAAACTGAAAGCTTTCTGGTCTGGAACCAGGAAACTATTCCATCAGGGTACAGCACGGGAAAATGTTCTGTCACCAGGGAAAGTTTTCCCCGCAGTTTCGCCAGCTAGCAACTGCACTGACATCTGTCTGAGGGAGTACTGTGGAGTTCATTACTGTACAGCAATTAAAACTACACAATGTCAGAAAACAGGCGTAAACTGTGCGCTCTATATGTTCTACGAAGATCAGTGAGATCTTAGCAAAGGAAAAAGGCCTCCAAGAAGATACGCGAAGAAATGCTGAAAGTCTGGCTTCATTCAGACCGGCCGGTTAGCTGGTATAGTCAGGTGACCACACTACTGATGACCGTAGTAAAGTTATTACCAGTACTGTGATGCAGTGATGTACCTGAGCCGCCCAGATGTTGTCGAGGTCCTGCAGGGTCAGAGCTTTCTCCTTAATGACGAAGCGCAGGATCTTCTCCAGCTTCTCCACGTACTGCGGCTGATGCAGACTGTCTCTCAGCACAATGGACAGAATGTTGTTCTGCTGAATCCATTCCTGAACACAAACAACATCATGAGCACTTCCTGCAGCAGCGCATGACTGAGTACAGGAAGTGTCTAAGAGACACACGCACACACACGCACACACACACACTCAAATCTAATGGTATATACGACACAGTTGAGCTACGTTTCTCCTTCTCTATGAGCCGTCCATCAGGAACTTCATGGTGCGTTTCCATGTAATATTTAACGTGACAGTGATTGATTGATTGATTGTGTATTGATTGGGTTCTTACGGCCATTCGCTCCGCTGTCAGCCACTCCTCCTCCTCTGGGTTTCCGTGCCGGTGCGTGTAATACGACACGCTCGAGATCACCTTGTTGACTTCATTCAGTGCATTCATTTTCCCATTAAATGAAGAAATCTGCAACAACCTGTAAAGCAGATGAGAGCAGATAAGACGAGGTCAGATCAACATCATAACTAGCAACTCAACAAGCCTTTAAACCAGGAACGACGGCTTACCTAAGAATCATTTTTAACCTGAAGATTTCCAGGTTCTTGACGGTTTCCTCTTGACCCCGAACTCTGGACGCCAGGTTCTTCAAGGACTTTATGATCATGGACAGAGCATCATTCTTGGCCTCGTTCTTGGCCTCCTTCTTCAGCTCCTCGTCTGTGAGGTTCTCCAGAAACTGTGGGACCATCTCGATTACGGGCAAGAAAAACTTCTTCACCGTGTGCAAAGTCAAGAACTCGTAGCACTGGCCGAAAGGTCTAGAAGACAAATCGAGAAACGATGAGACTCTGCGGAAGATGCAGCAGCTCAGATGCAGACACGAGAGATGTCGGCTGTTTATTTAATGGACGTACTTGATGAGAGCTGCGATGATCTGCACGTTGAGAGCCTGGCTGCTCGTGAAGCGATCGTGCAGAATCTGGAACCCGTTCAAAGTCCCGAACTTATTGATGAGGTCCACCAGCCAACCCTGAACCAGAGACACCATGACGAGGTCACGACCAAACCACACTGCTTACGGTCAAATATTATTGAGTTGTTGTCTTTTAAATATTAGCCTCTTTAACTAGACTCGGTCACATGTGATTACACCAGTAACTACGTTCTAAAGACGAGGTTAATTTATGTTTCACAGACACGTTTGATTGTTTTTAATCAAATACATCCGAGTTTCCTTACACCGCTTCAGTACAAATGATCTTCTGTTCCTCAGCTGACTTGTGCATCATCCTGACTGGAATTTTATTTTTATTTATTTATTTAACCAGGAAAGCTTCTCTGAGATTAAAAACCTCTTTCACGGGAGTGTCCTGGCCAAAATGGGCAGCAATTCAATCAGTTTCATCACAAATTTACAAAACAGAAACAAACTAAGAACACTTAAAACAATCACATATCACTGAGTCATCTTCCATTTGCAGAACAACTGTTTTAAAATGATTCAGACAGCTAATTTTGTCATTTCAGTTTCGATTGAAGAAGATTCCTCATATGGAGGCAACATCCCTAAGATGGCTTTATAAATGATTAAATACCAGTGCATTTTTCTTCTGATAGACACCGAAGGCCAAGCTACTCTGTTGTACAAAGTACAATGATGAGTTGAAGGTTTACAATCTGATATGAATCTTAGAGCGCCATGATAAACAGCATCTAAAGAAGACATGGCGCAAATTAATTCCTTTCTTGCATTAAATGAAATACAAAACTTGTTCCCAAGTAAAACCCAAGCTTAATTTTTTCTTCAGTTGAGTAATATGAGAGCTAAAATATAGTACATCATCAACAATGATGCCAAGGTATTTGTACTCTGAATCATTTTCAAAAAATCTTGAACCGGAAAATAACACGTATTTGGATTTATCAGCATTCAAGACACGTTTTAAATTGTAAAGCCGTGATTGAATGACATCAAAAGCTGATTGAAGCGTATACAGGGCTTGTTGCCCAGAAGAGGCACTACAATACATGTCAGAGTCATCAGCACAAAAATGAAAATTGGCATCCTGAATGTCATAACCAAGACTGTTTATATAAATGATAAATAAAAGTGGCCCCAGAACAGATCCTTGGGGAACACCTTTGGCAATCTCCAATGATTTAGATTGTTTACCTTCAGCCTGTACACATCGAGTTCTTCCACTTAAATAATTTTAAAGGGGTCATAAGATGCGATTTCAAGTTGTTCTTTCTCTTTGGAGTGTTACAAGCTGATTGTGCATAGATAAGATCCCTGAAGTTGCAAAGACTAAAGTCTCAAAACCAAAGAGATATTCTTTATCAAAGTTAAGACTCTGCCACGCCCCCTAAAACGGCTCGTTCTAACACGCCCCCACATATCTACCTCACTATGTGGGAATATTAGCATAATGCACCCAAATGTGCAGCAAAGAAAGAAGGCGTGGTTTCAGTCACCGCAGTTAGTGTTGAAGCAGCATGTCAGGGAGACGCTGTGTGTTTCTAGGCGAAAGCAAAAGCACTTTATTTGGGCTTCCGGAAGTAGATGCATTTAGGAATCTTTAAGATGACTTACAACAGAACAGCAATGCATTTTATGGACGACCGTTTCGTGAAGCTAGGAGAGGAGGTCATTCTGACTTTGCTATGACAATCTGCCGCTTCTGAATCAGCTACTGTTTTGTTATTAGTTTAAGTATTTGCTATTAACTGTTCAAATGCAGAGTTTTGCGCATCGTGTGTGTGTGTGTGTGTGTGAGAGAGGAACGTGACTCTGTTCCCCTTTCCGGCTCTGTCTTTACATTTATTTTGAAAGATGAAGCTCGTGATTATGGTAAGGGGCGTTACATTTCCGACGAGTGCTTGCGGTGTTCGATCAATCACAATGCACTGGGTCAGCTGGCCAATCAGAGCAGACTGCGCTTGTCGGAAGGAGGGACTTTGTAGAAAACAAAGCGTTTGAGAGAGGCGGGGCATAGAGGACCTAATAAAATAAAATAAAGTGACGTGAAAAGTGGCCAAGTATGGTGAACCATACTTGGAATTAGTGCTCTGCATTTAACCCATCCTAAGTGCACACACACAGCAGTGAACACACAGTGAGCAGCCATTTATGCTGCAGCGCCCGGGGAGCAGTTGGGGGTTCGGTGTCTTGCTCAAGGACTGTCACGCTGTACATTCACTCCCACCACCTACAAACCCTGCCGGTACGAGACCCGAACCCGCAACCTTTGGGTTACGAGTCTGACTCTCTAACCATTAGGCCACGACTTCCCCTACAATAATGTACAGGGGAATGTTTTTTGAACATTAAAGCATGTCAACATATTTTGTTACACCAAATACACATGACGTCTCATTGGAGAAGTTTGGGGAGGGCGTCTAAACACACAACAGCAGCACAACGTCAGGCGGCAGCAGAACGACAGAAAGTAGTTATTCATGCAGTTTATTGATATCTTTGGTTAAAGTGCATATTGCAGGTTAGAGACCCAGTGAGTCAGTGTATAGAAAAATAATGTAATGTATTGCAAATGTTTATTCAGAGAACAGGGACAGGCCTTTTATGATTAATGCAGATATTTGTGTGTGTGTGTGTGTGTATTCTGCAGTTCTAAAATATTTGTTATACACAGTAATTGATACGCTTACATTTAGGCAGACCCTTAATTTTTTGAGGTGCGTGACAAACATTTAGGTGCAAAAACATTGACAATTTCTTCAGCGTCAGAACTGTCGTTGCGACATGTCAACATATTCTGTTACACCAAATACACAAAATAAGGATCTTTAAAAAAGCATCATATGACCGCTTTAAACCATTTAAGTAGAAGAACTCATTGTGTACAGGCTGAAGGTAAATTATTTGACCATGCCTGTGTTTGTGGAATATTAATTTTTTAACCAGTGACTGATTGGCAAAACAGAGACTGATAAACTCAATAACTGCACTAAAAGCATCGCTACATCTCATTCAGTTGCGATCGGGAGGTCAGAAGCAGTGCTGTACCTTTGGAGAGCGCGGGTCGGGCGGCCGGGCGAACAGCTCATCGTCGGCAAGCTGCGCTCCCGCAGGAACGCTCTCAGACGGACGCGTGCCGTTGTAAATGTGGAACTTGCAGTGCGGGTTAGTGGCCATGGCCAGCACTTCAAGCAGAGGGAACCAATCCTGAGCCATTTTGACCACGCAGAGCTCGATCAGACGGTGGGTGTTACTGATGATGCACCTCTGCAACGGGACGAGAGCAACAGATCAGCATCAGGGAGACGTCTGCCTCGCACGATCACAGACAGACCCAGACTCACGTGGATCTCAAACTTCCAGCCGCTCACGGCCTCATCTGTCAGGATTTTGGTGAACGAGATCGTCAGGCCATCGCGGAAAAACCTCTGACACGCCTCGCACCTCACGTCGAGCCCTGAACACCACAACAAACCGCAGAAAACAGAATGACTCCACCTGAACATGACATCTCATCCACATTCGACGCATCACCCGTGACATCTGACCTTTTTTACTGAGATCTACAGCAGCTTCCAGCAGAACCTCCAGCTCTCCTTTGGGCAGGACCGGAACCACCCAGCGCGGCCTGAACCACAGGAAACCACATTAAACCACACATTAACTCCAAACAACACAATCTGAGATCGACGCCGCTGCTGACCGGTTGATCATGTCGTCCAGCTTGGCAAGGTCTGTGTGGGGGAAGGCAGGCTCCTCCTCTTCCTGTGTGGGCGGGGCTTCTCCCTGCCCCGCTTCCTCCGGCGGACTGATGGGTGACGTCTCATTGGAGAAGTTTGGGGAGGGCGTCTAAACACACAACAGCAGCACAACGTCAGGCGGCAGCAGAACGACAGAAAGTAGTTATTCATGCAGTTTATTGATATCTTTGGTTAAAGTGCATATTGCAGGTTAGAGACCCAGTGAGTCAGTGTATAGAAAAATAATGTAATGTATTGCAAATGTTTATTCAGAGAACAGGGACAGGCCTTTTATGATTAATGCAGATATTTGTGTGTGTGCTCTCTCTCACACACCCGCACGGAAGCGTTTCACGCCGATTACAGTGCGACTCTGCCACGGTGTTCCTGAGGCCTGCTAGCCTCGGTGCTAACGGCTAACCGCTGGCGCCTCAGTAACGGCCCGCAGCCTCACCGCGGACAGCAGCTCGGAGCAGGCCGCGGGAGAGCGGGTGTCCGGTGCTGCTCCTCCACCGGAGCCTCAGCAGCCATCTTGCTCCGCAAACAAACACAAACCGGCTTCAGACGCGCGTTTCTCGGTCCGTCTCACGCGTCTGCGGTGTCAGGCAGTCAGGCGCTTAACAAAGAGAAACAAACGGGCTTCACAAACCTCTCACCGACAGCCGGGCTCGCTCGTCGCTCGTGCTTCGCGGCAGTTCTCGGTCTTCACGGGCTCGTCTGCTCGTCTCGGGTGTTTCTCCTGCGTCACCAGCAGCCCCCCCCACACACACGACACCCGTCCAGTCTCAGTCCGGCACCACTAACGACTCACCCGGGTAACGGGCAGCTGAGGGACGGTTTTACCGCTCAGCGGATGTTTAGTGGTTCTGTAGCGGCCCGGTTCATGTTTAAATGTCTGCGGCTGCGTCTCAGAACCTAGTGCGCGACCTACCTAGCCAGCACACACACCGGTTCTGTGTGAATATATTTATCAGAGGTTCGATCAGTCGGTAAGTGTGTGCACGTCAGTGTTGTTGTTGTTCCAGCAGGAGGCGACAGCGCGCCAAAGACCCGGAAGACAATGACGTCACCGTCGTGCCAGATCACGTGCTCGAATGAGAACTCCACCTTTGTGCTTGCTCTTCTTCTTTTGGCTCGAGAGATAATCAAATTAAATGGGTTCATGTTGCGCTAATAAAACCAGCCGAACTCTGTCTCTATTTAATATGAATACTATAAAGCATTTACCAGATCACTGCCTTTATTAGGGGTTGGGGATGTAAGTGGCTAAATTTAGAAGCGCTCGTGCTCCTGAATACTGAAGCAGCGCCATCTGCTGGAGGAACACGAGCATCATCATCATCATCATCATCATCATCATCACTGACATAAACACAACATGCATGACCTGATTTCAAAAGCAATTTACTTTTTCCAACACATGAAAGGAAATAGAAAAAACAAACAGACAGACACACTGAAGAGCAGTTTCTTCGCTTGCAGAGGAATTTACACCGGGCGATATGAAATGAAGAGTTCACACAGTCTGTTCAGTTGTTTATGCACACACTACTTCATTTCAACCGCACAGTTACGCACCATTGAAACATTTACACACAATTAAATCCTCTCGGTTTTCTCGGAGTAAAACAATAATACTCTTAAGACAGCACATTTTCTGAAATGGTCGATCTAGGAATTAATATGTTCCTCCTCGTTCCGCACAAGAAATCAAATCCAGGACAATTTACAAACACGTCACTACACGGGGCATGAGGCTCGGAGGTGGATCTCGACACACATCTAGAGGAAGAGGAGGAGCAGCCCGAGGAAGAGCGCTGGGCTCCGCTGCCCTTTGTGCAAACCTACATCTGTAAACAGAGGGGTGTATGCAAACGGTGCTCATGTGTGTGTGTGAGAGAGAGAGAGAGGGTCAGCTGTGCTTATAGACTGCAGGCCAGTGGGTGGAGTCACATAGCCACGCCCACAGGGTGGGGCTGATGGGTGCTGGCTCCTCCCCCTCCACTGACTGTGCTCATCATTGCTCTGAGACGCCATCTCGTACGTTTAAAAAGAAAACCGTATAAAAAGTCATCAACCCCCCTTGTTATTCGTACAGGACCATATCTATGACTTATATATTCATATTTATAGATATTTATATATGTATAGATATATACAACGCTACGCACTGGTAGTGGCCGGGCTGTAAAGTCCGTGTGTGTGTGTGTGAGAGTGTGTGTGTGTGTGTGTGTGTGAGAGAGAGATGGCTAGTACACCCAGGACACCGGCACCCACTGCGCAGTGCTAGACACCAGATCGATGGCCTCCTCCAGCAGGCGGATAGTGTCGTCGATCTCGTTATTGATGATCGTCTGGTCGAAGTAATGCGTGTAAGAGTGCTGCAGCGCCTCCGACTCCTTCTGCAGCCGCTGGAGAGACTCGTCCTGATGAGAACAGACACACAACATCAGCGAGATCACGCTTCCGTCACGCGGCTAACAGTAAAACACGCCATCTACCGCAAACATGCGTCCGTCTGAGCGAGTCGTTCCAGGACAGAAGCTCCATACATGTTCAGTCCACATTCATTACAAACCAGCGCCGTTTCTGCTTTTTCAGACACACTACTACCATTTTTATTAACATTTCGTATCAGTTTTAATTTTTTGTTTTCATTTTAATTTTGGATAAAGTTTTGGAAATTTTGTCAGTTGTAGTGGTTTTTTTCTATATAGTTTTTATTCATTTTATTTCGGTTTTAGTTATTGTAGAAGTACATCAAGCTCAACTAAATTAAAATGAGAAATGTTGCCTTGGCAGCTAGCTGAAATTAACAGTTTTTGATCTAAACACGAAACACTGATCAGTGTGCAGATTCTGACGCACTAATCACATATTGAAATAAACATGAATTATTATTTGACATCGAAAGGCAAAAGCTCAAAAACTGGCGAGATTAATATGTACAAAATTTCTTTTAATTTTCGTCGAATTTTTTTTTTTGTAAAAATATTATTGCGGACTGCTGTAAAGTTCACATTGTATTCATTTGTGCTTAATGGAGAGAGTGCAATATTTCTCAAATAATGACAATGTTTTCGATTATAATTTTGAGCAAAACATTATTTAAAAAAAAATCAGTTTAATGATTATACAGCATGATGAAAATGTGACAAAGTTTTCTAAAATGCTAATTTAGTCGACAAACTAAAAACAGGACAAGGTCGACTAAATATGATAACTAAAAAGTACATTTGACACCAAGACTAAGACTAAAACTAAGACTAAGTCAAAGACTAAACTAAAAATGGCATGTTTTTCCTTTCCATTGCACTACTTCTACACAGTTTTTCTATGCAAGCATGCTGTAGTTTGATCGTTGCACTCGTGTCTCATGACTTTTGCAGCGTCTTATAAAAATGTGGCACTAGACCTTGCATTTCCTCCCTACGGCGGAGCGGCTGTCACGGAGCGACTGCGCTGGCTCACATCTTTACTTACAGGCAGTTTTCTGCACCATCTAGGGAGCTGCAAGCAGCACACGGACACGCGAGAAGAAACAAATCAACACTCAGAAACACATGCAGCATGCAATAAACAAGACGGCGGCACTCACCTCGTTCATCGCAGGAGTGATAGTCGGCGCTGCGATGAAGATGACATATGGCGCAAACTCAGCCGTCCGCAGAACCTTCAGCGCCTGTGGAAACAACACGAGTGCATCAGAAGCACACACACAGAGAGAGAGAGAGAGAGAGAGAGA